AAAGAGTGGCTGTCGGCCGGCTTTTTCTCAGGCAGCGCCGCGGGCAGCCCGCAGGCCCTTGTAAGGCGCACGCGCGCGGCGCCGCCTCCTTCTTTTCGGCCGGAACCGCCATCTTCCAGGTACTGTAGGCGCGTGGCTCCCGGAGCCTCTTGTCCCTCCCCCTGTCCTTCAGGTGTGAGTGTCAACCCTGTGGCCGCTGAGGCCGTGCATTGGAGCTCTAGGGAGATCATCTAGCCAGCCTGGGGCCCGCTGGCCTGGGCGGTGGAGCTGTGTCCGTCCAGACGGCGCGGCGGGCGCGGGGCCGGGGACCAGGCTGCGATGCCGTGGGTTTGCGGGGGGGGACAGGCTCTGGAAAAACGAGGCCGAGGCACCGTGGTGAGGTGGTTCTGGTTCATCGGGAAAGGAGTTCGTCCTTCCAGCGTCCCCACGGCTTCAGCCCGCCTCTCCTGGGCTTTCTCGGATCGGCTCTGGCGCCGCGTGGCCGCTTGCTTTTCCAACGCCTTCAGTGTGGCATCTTAACCCCTGTTGTAGGACCTAAAATGTAATGCTCTGGGGTAGGGGCTTCGGGGCAGTAGGAGCGGGTTGAGAACCAGGCGCCGGTTTTAATCTCCCCTGAGAGCTGGGTGTGTGTGTGAGAAAGTCGGGGGTCGTGGTCGGAGAACTGCAGAGGTGCCCCTGAGTCGCTCTGGATGAGGAAGCCCAGCCCATTCGTCGTTGACGTGGGAGATTTCCGGTTCTCTTAATTCTGGCCCGGGACCGCAGTTGGAGAAAGGGAAAATACTTTGTTTGCCACGGGTATTGTTTTGTTCATGCCAGGGCAGCAAGTGTTAAGCGAAGGGATTCCTGAATAGCTGTGTCTGATTTAGGCGTTTAGGGGGAAAGTTAACTGAATAACCCCTTAGTCTGAGTTTTGCATTTTTGTGTCTAGTTTGTAGCAGCCAGCTGCCAGAGTTGAGGAAACAGCGGGTTGCGCCCCCGTAATGGGTCCCATTTTTGGTAGTATTATAGACTAAATCGTCATTGCTTGGGACGTTAAGTATTGTTTTTAAAAACTCACTCGATTATATGTGTATTGGGTCCTGATGGATTTCGAACTCGGAAAAATGGGTTTAGTGGAAGATCCCACATGCCGCGGAGCAAGCAAACCCGTGCGCCACAACTCCGGAGCCTGCCCTCTAGAGCCCACGAGCCACAACTACTGAGCCCACGAGCCGCAACTACTGAAGCCCGCACACCTAGAGCCCGTGCTTCGCAACGAGAAAAGCCCCCACTCGCTGCAGTTAGAGCCGGTGCACGACAACGAAGACCCAACGCGGCCAAAAATTAAATAAATAAATTTATTTTTAAAAGAAAAGGAAAGGACTTATATTACTGATTCTGTCACTTTGTGTCTCCGTGAAGTGAGTTGAGCTGCAGAGCATGTCTCCTTGTTTATGAACTTAAGGGGAGTTTATATGAACTTAATGCAAATGTAGCCATGAGAATTAAAACAGTACTTGTACTTGATAGATTCTTCTCACCATTTAAAGTGAAGTGTGCATTCGTTGTAACAGTGGTTTGGCTTTGATGGGTTAGCTGAAACATTTTTCGGTCTCCTTGCCACACAGGTTATATGAAAAAGGTACTTAGGAGTCAACTTTTCTTTAAGGTTAAGATGTAATAAATTGAGAGGCTGACTTACATTAGAACGTTGTCGACAACCTAAGCTGGTCTTTGGTGTATTTTGCCTTGTGGTAGGAGTAGTCAGCAATGGTAGTTCTGCCCTTGGATGATCTGAGGCAATTAAAACCATTATTTTGACCTTTTGGGAAACAAAGTGAAAGGTTCAACTCAGTAGCCTGTACGTGAGTTCTTCGGCAATGATAAAGTACTGTTTACTAGTAAGCGCTTTGCATGTGCTAGGAATTGCTCAGTGTTTTGTAGATATTACCTTAGTTGATTATAAAAGTGTTAAGACTGTTTCACATATGAGAATCAGGGTTTAAATGTTTTGGTCTCCCAGCAGGTAAGTGGCAAAACCTATGTCAAAATCACGTCAGTGATTATAAAGCCTTCTACCTCACATTTTCTGGTAAACAACTGAGTAATTAGATATATGAAGTGAGTTAGAGATTTTTGACAGTTAATAGGTGCGGTATTAGAGAAATCCGTAGGTTGATAAGAAAAGGGGTTTATGTATAAATGCAAGACTGAGTTTTGTCGTGCTTTGCAACAATAAACTGCCTTCTAGTTGGTAATTCCAGTGTTCTTGGCAGTCTAAGCTGGGTTCTACAGATGTAGTGTGGCAGAAGTCCTGTTGTGTTGTTACATTCTAATAGGGAAAATAATTGGTTTGGGCTCTAAAATCCAGTTCTTCTTAGGAGTTTTAGGCAGTTTTGGTAGAAATCTTGGTAAAATTACTGTTTCTTACCGTTATAAGAGCTGTTGATTCGTGAGCCAGCTTTTTAGGTAGTTGCCTAATTCTCGAGTTGCTACTGAACTTAGTGCATTTGTAATTACACATTGTTTGGTTAAAGGGGCAAATGTCAATTTTGCAATTGTATTTGACTGTTTCATACTTTCTGGTTTCAGTAATTCGCCAAAATGACCAACACAAAGGGAAAGAGGAGGGGCACCTGCTACATGTTCTCTAGGCCTTGAGGAGGGGCACCCGCTACATGTTCTCTAGGCCTTTTAGAAAACATGGTGAGTAGATCCATCCTCCTTGGGAGCAAGCGTGGCATACATTTGTGTTTTATTACCTATGTGTTGTCGTTCATATAATGTGTTCTTAATAAATGGCATTAATGAATCAGCATCTACCTAACATTTGTAATAAATAAAAAGCATGAATTTTATATAATGGTTCTTAAATTGTCGACTAGCAAGGTTTTAAAGTACACGTAACTGCCAAAAAGTAGTGTGTGTTGAAAGCTAGTAAGGTTATGTATTTCTCTTACTCTTGACTTTTTAATCTTGATATTGACTGTATTGGGGTTTTTTGTTTTTTTTGCAGGAGTTGTTCCTTTGGCCACATACATGCGAATCTACAAGAAAGGTGATATTGTAGATATCAAGGTAAATTATAAAATTGGGGAAATAACTACAGAGTAACATTAGAAGTTAGTAAAGTGTTTAATATTAAAATCTGAATAGGGTGTATTGCATCTTTTTATCTTCCTAATCGGGGGGAAATCCATTTCCTGAAAAAGCTCGTGAGAGTATAGAGTAGCTATTTTATGTTACATTTTTATTTTTGTAATAAATTTTTTTTTTTTTTGGCTGCATTGGGTCTTTGTTGTCGAGTCTTCGTTGCATTGCACGGGCTTCTTTTTGCAGTGGCTTCTCATTGCAGAGCTTGGGCTCTAGGCGGGCAGGCTTCAGTAGTTGTGACTCACGTGCTCTAGAGCGTAGGCTCAGTAGGTGTGGCGCACGGGCTTAGTTGCTCTGTGGCATGTGAGATCTTCCCAGACCAGGGCTCGAACCCGTGTCCCCTGCATTGGCAGGCGGATTCTTAACCACTGCGCCACCAGGGAAGTCCCTAGAATGGCTATTTTAATTTTACTTTAATAAACAAGAGTTTTAAAAGTGCTATTCTTGAGTCTAAGAATTTTCTCATTACTTGTTTTTAACAGCTAGTGGAAAAATTAAGGGGGGGAAATCCTGTGAATTTGTATTTAAATGTGTCCTGGCACTCTAGAGCTTAATGATGATTGTCTTTTTGATTGCTTAAAGCAACGTGAAAATGACATTTCACCGGCTCTGAAAGCTCTTGAGTTGCCATCTAAAGAAAAAAAAATCTTGGAATATCTTAGTTACTTTGGATTTAAATGGAGGGGGAAATTGCTGGCATAACATTTATCTCCTTTCTTAACAGGGAATGGGCACTGTTCAAAAAGGAATGCCCCACAAATGTTACCATGGCAAAACCGGGAGAGTCTACAATGTTACCCAGCATGCTGTTGGCATCATTGTAAACAAACAAGTTAAGTAAGTAATGTCATAGTTCTTTGTGCCTACTTAGTATTCCCTCACACCCCCCTTTCACTTTGCCAGTTGGACTTATGTCTTTATTGGTCATTCAAGTGGGGCAAAGGAAATACCCTTTTAAAACTCAAGCAAACTGGGTGTTTGTCTTGTAACCTGTCAGAGGAAACAAATTGTAATAAACTTACTGGAAAGTCTTGTGAGGTTTGTTAGCTAAGCCGTTCTGGTTTTCACAGTGTAAAAAGTTTAATAAGTTGTAAATTTTATTAGCGGTCTGGTTTTGCTTAAATTATTTGGTATTTCAGAGTCTGTCACCTCATCAGAAGAGAGCTTAAAAGTGGGGGTGTTTGGGCTTCCCTGGTGGCGCAGTGGTTGGGAGTCTGCCTGCCGATGCAGGGGGTGTGGGTTCATGCCCCGGTCCGGGAGGATCCCACGTGCCGTGGAGCGGCTGGGCTCGACCGTGGCCACTGGGCTTGTGCATCAGGAGCCTGTGCTCCGCAGTGGGAGAGGCCGCAGCAGTGAGAGGCCTGCGTACCGCAAAAAAAAAACCCAAAAACAAAAAAGTGGGGATGTTTTCCTCAAGGCCCTATTCAGTAAGATTTAATAAATGATTATAAATTTGCCATCACCTTGTTGATTTATCAAGTGGGTAAAAAAAATATTCATGGTTTAACTAATAAATGAAACTGTCAAAAGAATTCTCTGAATTTTAGCTGTGCTTTTGATGCACTTAAGAGTTTCTTCTCTCTCCAGGGGCAAGATTCTTGCCAAGAGAATTAATGTGCGTATCGAGCATATTAAGCACTCTAAGAGCCGGGATAGCTTCCTGAAACGGGTGAAGGAAAATGATCAGAAAAAGAAGGAAGCCAAAGAGAAAGGTACTTGGGTTCAACTGAAGCGCCAGGTGAGTGCTTGGCAGGGTTTCTTGGTATTATGTACATTATTAGTTCTGGGAGCACTTTGAAGTTGAGTTACAGTACTTTTCATAATTATTCCCTCGCCTTTTTTTAATAGCCTGCTCCACCCAGAGAAGCACACTTCGTGAGAACCAATGGAAAGGAGCCTGAACTGTTGGAGCCCATTCCCTATGAATTCATGGCATGATGGGTGTAAAGAAAATAAAAGACCTGGACTGTATAAATGTTTCTCTTAGTTGAGTAGAAGTGTGTGACCCCCTTCCCCAAACAAATATTTAAAGCACATTTTAATTGTGTCCGAATTCAGTGGGTGACATCTTTTTACTTTTCAAATTTAGTGGTTTTTATTCCTGAAAGATGTGAGGTAGTTTGTTGTGCAGGATACTCAATTGGTTAATAAACTGCTAGATATTACTTACAAAATATTTGTACTAGTTTGAAAATAGTCTCTCAAATTCCTATGAACAAAGGATTTAAAATGAATGAAAGTTATCTGTTATATTATAATTAAGCTCAGGAAAAGTTGATGCTCATAATTGCATCATAAATTAAGTAGCTTGTGTTTTGAGTATCAGGTACTTAACTTTGAAGCCTACCATTTAAATATACATGGTTTAAAGTCCCTTCCTGGTCCTTGGTGAGTTACATGTCAGTTCTGAGTTGTTCAGACCTTTCATGCAGCAGGGCTCAGAAAAGTGTTACAAACTAGAATACCTTTTTTATATAAACCGGGTAAGTATTTATATAGCATCTAATATGTTATGTGGCATTCTAAGCACTTTACATAATGTACTCATAAAAAACTTGGAATAAGTTTTGTTTTGCTCATTTTACATGAAAGGAAGCTGAGGCACAAGTAACTTGCCCGAGGTTACAGGTGCATAGTGTTGGGCAAAGATTCAAACCCAGGCAATCTGGCTGCATAATCGGATTTTAGTCATGAGTTCTATATTGCTTCATATTAATAGGAATATTTTAAAGCTACTTTGTCTAGTTGGAACACATTTTAGGTTTTGTTACTTCCTGGATATTTTTAATAGGATGTGGTAGACATCCAGCAGGGAATTGATCACATCACATCGCATCGCCCTGCCTTCAGTATTCTGTGATAACACCTGTAGCAAGCTTATTTAAAATGAAAACCTTGACTACTCACTTGGTATTCTGTCCCCACTATTAGACTTGAGGACAAGAACCTGTTTATAATTTTAGTAAACGCTGTGAATAGGTTAAAACCCAATGTTAGTGGCTTTCAGTTTCATCTAGTGAAGTGTGATGGTAATAGGGCTTGGAATCCAGCAAACCCTGGCTTTGAATCTTGGATTCCTAACCTAACTCAGTAAATGGTGGTTATTAATTGCCCTCAGAGATTCACATCTAGTGGTAGAGGGTTATGTTTAAACATGACTGTGTTGGTCAAAAGAAATTGTTTACCAGCACCACCACAGAAAACAAGGAAAACCTTATAAACTGCATCAGTTGGCCTTCGTGTTCTGTGTTTTTCCATCTTAAGTTACCACTTATGCGCCAGGTTGAAGACACTTTGCATATTTAAAATTCTATTTCATGAGTATCTTTCATAGCCGTTGCTTCATTCCTGCCCCTTTAGGCACATTTTGATTTCTCCTGTAAACTATTAAAGCAGCTTCAAGGCATCATGTTTATCGAGCCTCCTGCTGTATTGCATATTGCTTAACCTGTGTCTCTCTAACCCATGGTTTAGTTGTTCAAGGTACGTGTAACTAGTCTGGTTCCTACTAAATTGTTTTTCTCTTTATTTCTGTTTTCCTACGTGATGGCTTTAGCTATTAGGAAAATTGTGTTTATGGAACTGTTCTTTATTGCCCCAGTTTTGCACATGCACTTGCCTTTGCCTGAAATACCTACACTTTGCTTTGTTCGTTTGATGAAATTCCTGCTTGTCCACTCACCTTGAGTCATAGGTGAACCGTCCCTGATTAAAGCATTTTAAGGAGAGGAATGAAAGTGCTTGGAATCAGAGATTACTTCTGATTTGGGTTGGTGGAATAAATTCCCCCATATTTTTGTGTGTTTGCTTCTCACACACAGTGTTTATAATTTTTAAAAACTTCTGCCTTCCTCGCTAGACCTGAGGTTAGGGACTGTGCCTTATATTTTGTACTTCTAGTGCCTGGCACATAATATACACTCAGTAAATGCTCTTTAATGAGAAAAGCACTGTTTTTTTTTTTTAAGACATTTTCTACTTTATGTTCAGTTTTATTTTCCTATGTACTTTATAAAACTATAGTGTTTCTGAATTTTGAGGGCTCACCAACCATTTTGCTCAGGAGTAATTGGGATTATTAAATCCTTCATGTGGAAAAATCAAAGAGACCTCAAACATTTCTTTGTTCGTTCTCCAGCCAGTCATGCTAACCTTGCTGTCTGTTGCTGCTTCTGTAAAATGAGGGTGTCATCTGCAAGTACGGATTGGACTGAATGATTCCTAGAGGTCCCTTGCGTGCTTTGAGTCTGATTCCATGTTTAACTGACTAAGTGAAAGGAGGTATAATTGTGACTTGTCAAAAAGGAAATGGTGGTGTAAGATACCTCAGTTCAGGAGGGCTGGTGAGGCTGGACATTGGGAAAAGGAAAGGCTGCAAACAGGACTGGCTAAGGGGAGTTATTCTTAGGGCAGGTAGTCAGAAAATGTGAATGCTTCCATCTAGTGTATGGTGCAGCAGTTTTCTAAAATACTATCAATGGCAATGCTATGTGAATATGCATGACGCTTTTTTTGGATTTTTAAAGATGGGTTTTCACACATGCACAATACTGAGTTTAAAATGTGTTTTCCAGATTCTTGGTTCGTTTTGCTTGCTTTCCTAAAGGGTTGTACCAGTTAGCACTCCATGAGTGAGTGAAAATGATTGTCTTGGCACTCTCTTCAGCATTGATTATTATAATTTAGTCTTTGCTAATCTGGTGGGAGAAAATGTTGCGTTATTGAATTTGGCTTTTCTTCGCTTCTGGAACACATAACCTGGTTTCCTTTTACCGCCACTGCAGTCTTTGCTGGACCTTTCTGACTTGCTGGACTGTCTTTCTGACCTCCAAATACTGAAGTGCCTTTATTCACACATTCGAAGCCCTATATCATCTGCCCTCTACCTACTTTTCTGACCTAATCTACCACTTCCAGCCCCAAAGTCAGATTCAGTAAGTTATGAGATATTTGGAGGCCAAACACCATTAAGGAAGTTACAATCTAGGAGGAACAGTACAATCACAAATCCTATTTAAATCAAGGCAAAATAAGGCTTCAAGGAGTGTAAAAGGACAGTAAAGGGGAAAGTTGATGTTTACAAGGCTCTTGTTTTCACTGATTTTTCGTGGTTTCTCGTTTGCTTGACGCTTTCCACGTACTGCTTCCTTGGCTTCAGCTTACAGACTAGTGAAAGCCAGCAGAATAAGCAAGGAGCTTTTCGTTTGTCTTCCTCATTCTTTTGTAGCTTAAATTCCCTCTCTCCCACTGCAAATAATGGCTTCCGCCTACACCACTCTAATGAAACTACTCCTAGAGGTTACCAAACACCTGCTAATTAAATGTAGAGACCTTCCAATTTGGCTTTATCTCCCTGGTATTTGTCGGAGCCAACAGCTTTTTTTTTCTGCCATCACACTTTAGCCAGGTTCCTCTGCCTGTCTGACTCCTTCATCCCCCTTATTCTGGATTTTCCTCAATGTTCCACATCTGTCGCTCCTAAGTTCTTTCTGGGTGATCTAAGCCAGTGGTTCTTCAAGTAAGTTTCCCAGCTCGCAGCATCAGCATCTGGGAACTTGTTAAAAATGCAGACCTACTGAATCAGAAATTCCGGGGAGGGGGCATGGGCAGCACTTAACAACAAGCTCTCTGGGTGATGGAGATGCATGCTCCAATTTGAGAACCACTAAATTTATGTCTAGCCATCTCTAATACACTTGAGACTCAATTTCAGAACTCACTTTCTCTGAAGCTCTAGATGTGTATTTCCAACTCCCTCTTGGGCACCTCCATTTGGTGCAACTATTACACAGATGAGCTTGGAAGGTTTTATTAGCAGAGAGATGAATTAAATTGAAACCCTTGAGATTTGACTGATGTGTGTTTGCTGATAAGATTACGTGCCTGCCTTGAAATGCAGGTCGTTTAATGAGTAACCATCACAAAGTGTGAATTTATAAATTAATCCCTTACTGTACAGTTCCCTTTTCTCACATTTACCAGTGAGAATGAAGAAAGATATTCTAACTATAAAACTTTTCACCCTGTTCTTAAGTTAATAAGAGCCATGGTTGGGAATAAGGCTGTGTGGCTTCTTGAACTTTCTCTTCTGATCTAGCCAGGTGTCTCAAGGCCTGTTCATGTTCAGTTGAACCCGATCCGAAGGGCTGAATAAACTACATCACACTGAAATTTGCTTCTGAACGTGTGGCCAAAAAGCCCCCCAGATTCCTGTATCTTCTGTACTCCCATCAGGGTAGATTTGCATTTTTCTCTGCACTAGGATGGGAAAGATTCTAAATATAAACACTGGCTAACGTTTAGCAGTAAGCGTCGCTAAAATATAAGAAGTTACGTTTATCTTATTTTTTGAGCACAAGAGAAGTTTAAGCTGAATTTGATTTGAGGTATGAGTGTTTATAGCATATTCATCCCAGCCCCACTTAAAGGAAAACATTGGTATTGTTCAAGCAAGAAACCTTCATAGAATCTTAGACAAATAGCTTAGTTATAAATGATAACAGTGAGGCAGCATCTGCAGCTGTTACTGCTGAGCTGGAGAAAGTGTGTAGAGGCGTGAATAAGCAGTCCAAGGTTGTGTATTGTGACTTTTTCAATAGCAAAGGTGAGTGGTGAGGGGCAACTAACTGATGGGCCATCTCTCAAAGGCCCTCATGGGAAAGGCACAGAGAACCCTCTCAAAACTTTCCTAGCAAGAGTGCAGTTTGTGGAAACCATTTGAATTGGGAAAGAAATGCCACGGGGTGCTCTTTGCTGTCTGCAGAATGAGATGATGGCTTAGCCCAAGTGAAGATGTGATTGGATATTTGCTCCTGAGAAAGAGCAGAGTTCAGATTAATTGCTCATGGCAGATGAGTAAGTGAACAGTTTGAAGATCCTTGAGAGTAGAGACCGTCTCCTGTCCTTCGGATGCTCCTAGCTCTGGCACTTGCATATACTAGGGCCTGGCTCAAGAACAGTTCA